AAAAAAAAAAAAAAAAAAAAAAAAAAAAAAAAAAAAAAAAAAAAGGAAAGAAACAGAAGAGAAAAAAAAAAAAAAAACAGCATTTAGTGTAAAATACAAAGAACATTTTCAGCATTAAAAATGTATGAAGAGAAACATCAATATCAGTTCATTACCTTTCCTTCCGAAAAAAGAAAAGTACAAATGTCTTATCTGTACCTTCTTTGTAGTCTGATTTTTACATACAGCAGGATGTTTTTGTTGCAACATCAGCTTTGTTTGATCATGTAAATTTTTGAATCATCCTTATTTGGAACCTGAAAGGAGCTTCACTTGCTTTCTATTCAACAACTAGTCTAGAATAAATTCCCACATTTTTGTAATTTTTCTTTTTCACTGCAGACAAGCAACTTTTTTGGAGTGCTTATTTCTGCAGCTATTCACCAAAGCAATGATATTTTCCAAGAAAGAACCGACTGCAAAAAATGCTCCATGTTTATGAAGTATAATTACACGCACAGAGCTCAGTATAAAACCTCATGGACCAAAACACATTAGTTCAATTATCCAAGTTTCAAGTCCGATTACAAATATCCATATGAAGATAATTACAGTGCAGCTGTCAGTTCTAAAAAGACCTGCAGTACATAATGAATTGTTCTCTTATGGTCTATGGAATGAAGGGAAACATTATTAGCCAACTTTTGTCATATACATATTAGAATAGGAAAAATTATCTCTCACTATGCCAAAAGGACTGAAAAATGATCGTCTTCTAAGACAGAAAAAACAGTATTTTGAGAACAGAAACTACTGCTGATTTTCTAATTTGCCGTCCCAATAATTATGCTTCCATGGGTCTATCCCTTCAAGAAGCGTGACTAGATGTGGGTTTCTAATTAGAAAGACTAGAGAATCAATCAGAAAACTCTAGAAGGAAATTAAAGCAGTATTAAGTTCTGAAAATGTTGTTAAGATCCAGAATAAATTTCACTAAGATGGAATTTGAATGCTCTTGTCATGGTGTAAAACCCAAGGGAAACTCTATCCAGTAACTGAATCCATCTCTTATTTACAATTTTCAAACGTTTTCATGAATAAAGCACTCAGACCACTTACAATATTGCACCCCACCTACATGTCTCTTACAAACTTCATTTTACACTGTGTATCCTTTAGAAACTCATTGGACATGAAGTCCAAGGTTTTAAACAACACATTTGAATCAAAAGAAGTGGATGTGGGCAAGTCACTTTCTTCTCCAGTACCTCATTTTTCCAAGAAGAAAAACAAGGATGATAACACTGATTTCACTTTTTAAAACACGTCAAAATCTACAGATAGAAAACTAACAAGAAATTTCATCTCACTATTTAATCCCATCATAAATCCAGGAAACAGTCAAGTGAAATTTTCCAAGATGGGAAAAGGACCACACTAATCTTTTCTCAAAAGAACACTGGATCTTTGTTTAGAAAAGCTGACCGGTTCTGAAAGCATTTTCATCAGCTCTCTGAATGGCATTGCTACAACTCAGTTCTCTTCCTCAGACTGTCTGTTCTGTTGCTGATCCAGCAATGAGCCTTGCACACTTAACTCAAAGCATGTGTCCCATTCATTTTAATTGAAACTGTTCACATTTTTAGCATTCGCCATTGTTAAGCCCTTTGCTGGATCAGGAGCAGAACTGTTTAACAGACTACAGGATCAAGTCCACTATGTTGAGTGTCAGTGCCTCAGAACCTAATGGAACAAGCAATTCTATATCATATGAAGAGACAGAAACTCCTCTTTTGTGGATGAGATGCTATCATTAGTCACTCTTGCATAAACAACTCTTAAATTACATCTGGATTCAACAGAGGAAAATCAAACAAGATGTTTTCTACAAATGACAGTGGAACAGCTTGCAAAAGTAGTATATAACAACTGGAAAACTGCAATGGTGCATACTATTAGTTATTATCTTCGGTCACATGCAAACAACTGAAAATTATCAACCTATTTGGACCCTTGGTTAAAGGAATTTTTTTTTGGCACAGGTTCTAGCAACCTCCAGACCTCAGCGTAGTATAATTTTCAATATCTGCACGGATTTTGTTTCAGTTAAGCTGCAGCCTGCTCTTGTACCAGGGAGAAGCAGAATTTGGCTGTAACATATTCTGTAAGTACAGTCAAATTAAGCCCTTTGGTGTACCACATAATCACAAATAATTATTGTATGCATACTTAAAAGCATATTCTCATTATGTTCAGCACATGGAACTCCCTCTAATGTTAATGGGAATTCCAAGCCTGAATGTAAAGGACACCCATGTGTGTAGGTTTTGGGTCTGCTGTGTTTTGTGCTTCTTCCCCTTTCTTGACAGTTCAGGTAGATGACTTAGCCTTGGGTCTCAAGGTTCGTGTGAGACTTCAGGCAAGTTATTTAACTCTTCTGCTGTCAGTTCCATACGTTAACAAACATGAAACTTTCTTTTCTTTTTTTTCCTCCTTTCTTCTCCTTGCCCCTCTCTCTCTTACTATAGCTTATGTTCTCACTGAAAACTGGAGTCGGTCTGCAATGTTTTTTCTGTTTATTGTCTTGTATGAGGGGCACAGATTTTATTTGACTATTCAAACCACTGTCAGAGTAGAGACAACAAAAAGCTAGAAATGATGCTCACACACACATTAAAAACCTTCAATCACTCTATTTAGCTATTTAGTCATAAAGTCAGAAGAGATTTGCTTTAGTCTTCTAGGTGAAATTTCTGCCCTTTACTTAGTGGTCTAATGTCAGTATACTTTCTGTATTACCCTACTTCTTTCAATCATTTCTTAGTAATTGTCATAGATACCAGCATGTGTGCCCACAAAGACAAACTGTCAATTCTCAGCTGATTACCTAAAGGCCAGGGAGCCAGGAAAAGTAAACAGGTTGCAACAAAAACCAATGACAGCACAATGTGAAAATCTCAATAAAACACACTCTTCTAGAAGTTTCATTCAACCTGAATGGGAAAAGGACCATACTCTATGCTAACTGTTATTTGGCCTCTTATTTTCTCATTACATACAACTTGAAGACAGCCTGATAATAAAAAAATACACACAGGTATGCTTTGATAGGCATTCATCCACTGTGGAACTGCAGCAAGCATCATCAACACTATTTATACTTGGAAGGAGAAAGCAAAGATCAGCCTAACATTCATGAAAACAACAGAACAGTATAGTCAGTCCTACTGGAAAGAATTTCAGAAAGCAACCTTGCTATTTGGTTAGCTTAACTCTGAAAAGCAGGATAGAAGCCAGAACAATATACATTTGCAGGGGTTTATTTTGACAATGTGTTTAGTTGTTCAGTTGCTTCAGATATTTTTCCCCTCCAAATGCCAGCACTATTTTTTAAAAGGCTAATCCCAGATATTAAACAACAACCAGCTTCAAAATGGTACAGTTCATCTTAAAACAGTAAGCTACTGGTGGGATTGTTTCTAGGAGGGAAAGGTCCAAGGAAACTGCTGTTTAAGTTGGCAGGATGCTTCTGTTTCATAGAAGAAAAAATGTTCCTGTTATAAAACACTTCTCTTGCTAGCAAATGCTGCACATAAAGGGGCAGCTGTACTGTGCTTACCTCACGTGTGACTCTTCCGTTGTTATCAAAGTCATACAGTGTGAAGGTCCATTCTTGCCTGTTATCTTCCTCTACAGACACATCACATTGCAATTCCTAAGAAACATGCAAAGAGCAGCTGATTACCTGAAGCAAAAGGCCTGTTTGCAGAGGAAACTCTGTAGAAGAAGGCTACTTGCTTTCTTCTTCCTTCCCTTCCTCTCTCATGGGAGGAAGCTTTCAGGATATGTCCCAGAGAGTCCTCTGTCCACCACAAAGAAGAAATCTCATCATAATAATATGATAATCTTAACTCCTTTAGGCTAGGCTTCCAGCAATCTGCAAGATACTACTTTCTACTTCAATGTAGAAAACACAAAGAAAGAAAACTGGTCCCTGAAGCTGTTAGAATATAATAAGATTTCTCACTGAAAAGTGAGAAAGAAAACTCTGCTTAAGTCAGGAAGAGAAAGACAACAGAAACAGAGTCACAGTATGATGTAGGACACCATAGCCCCAGGAGTGGTCATTAATACAAAATGGTACAAATCCCCACCAGAGAGACCTACCAGATGCCTGACACCCAAAGGCCACCAGCTGGTGCACCCCAGTATGGTGCCATTAAGCTCCTGAAGCAGAGCTGCCCAAGGGCTGGCAGGTAGCAGCAAGCTGAGAGCCTGGCCCTTACTGAGCCTCGCTTCTGCTGGTGAGCATGACTTGGGGAAAGCCTGAACGAATCAATTTGTTCAAGGAAAATAATCCCCAAACCTAAACCAAGCCTTCAGTCAAGAACAAAGGATGCACTTTGACTGACTTTGGTCAAATGGTGCAAATGATTTGCTTTCTCTCAAGACCTGTGCAATTAGAATTATCCAGAGCCACACCACTACAATACAGAAAAGTTACAGTGCAATTAAAATGAAAGCCGCTGTATACAAGTAAAATAAACAGCTCTGAATAGCTTCAGCATGACAGAGCTCAAAATACCTGGTTGATCTTCTGACTTGAAACCAATTCCCTACAGCAGTTCCCCGTCTCCCTGTCCCCTGCTGAGTTCAAAGGCAGTCTCCTCTCCGTTGTAACAAGCCCAGCTGAAAGCTGCCAAGTGCCCCACACTCTACTGTGGAAACACCGTTTCATATTACACAAACATTTCCAGCACCTTTAAAAGCCAAATCGCGTTCACCTCGCATTTAGACCTCTTGTCTCAGCACTCATGCTTCAGATTCTTTTACACCTTTCAAACATTTACCAATCTCATAGCCCCTAGCTTACATAGTTAGAAAACTTTCATTTCTAGAACAAGGGGAAAAAATATCAATACTTGGTTCCTTGCCACAGATTAATCCTTCTCTGTCCCACATTGCCTAACATAACATCTTTATGTGAGGATGTGCTCTGCTTAGTTAAGAGCCATGGCAATCTTCCCTGCATTAGTCATGGAGCCTGGTACCAAGTGCTAACCTTTATGGCATGCCAAGAACTACTTGGGAACAAACACAGACTTTGCCGGTACGGTGCAGTTCCAGCTCTACTGGCACCAACCATGTTGACAGGTGTCCTCCAATGTTCAAATATCAAGGCACTGTTAATTGCAATTTATCATGCCTTTCCTGTCTGCAAATGTCTGCTATTCAAAGGAGAATATAAAGTGTGCCTACAAAAAAGAGTTATCGCTTTGCAAAAAAAAAGGCAGGAAAGTCACCTCCCCCCGAAGGCACACCAGCACCTAGCAACAGCTGAGCTGCCTCCTTTTAATCAGCCTAAAACAGTAAAAAATAAATTGTACCAGACTACTAAACCTGCTCTGGAGAAGGAAATGAGCGCCCAGCCATGCTGCATGGTGGCTGCGTGGTCTTTTAAATAACAATTGAGGAACGCAAAGCTCATTACTGTGACAGGCTGACAGCACTGAAAGGTAGAAATCTGCCATGTCTGCTGGAGCGCAGAGAGATGAAAACTCGTGCTGTTTCTTGCCAGTACCAGAGTATCTTTCTGTTCACCAAGACAGACAACCCTCTAGCTGGATGACAGCACGTTTCAATACTCATATTTATTAAATTGCTCCCTATACAAACAAAACCTGCCAACTGCTCAGAATGTCTGGCAGTTTTTGTATGTCTGCGAGAAAACAGACCATCCGACTCATTGCCCCCAGGATCCTCTTCCTTCTGCCATCTGATCAGGTGGATATCCACTGGAGCATGTGAGGGTCTTTTCACTTTGGAGGCCCAGCCACAGGGGGCTGATGGATAAGGAAGCTTTCATAAATATCTTCTACATCAAGAAGATTCAACCAAGTGCAACAGTCCACACAAGTCAATCTCGTAAGATCTCATAACACAGGAGGTGGCATAATAAATTGCTTCTAAAAGGATTGTAGATAGAGGATCAAAATGAACACCTCTTCTTACTGTACATTTCAGAGCCTACCAAGGAATCACCGTATTCCATTTAAACCTGGAAATAAAACATACTAACCTAAAGGACCAATATCACCAACAGTAAGACACTGAGAATTGTACCATTTATACTCCACCCTTTACCTATTACCATTGGAAAGAGCTATACACATGCACTGTTTGATCTACAAGCTATTTTTCTACCTTAATTATGTCACTACAGCGAAACTTTAGAATACAGAAAACTTACTTCAAATTTTAGTTGCTTCTTGGAACCTGCGCGTGTGTCACTTTCTTTTTCTGCTTTCTTTTCATCTCCACTGCAAACTCCATCTGTCTTCTCTGGAGGCAAAGCCACTGCAAAAAATATATTTAAGAAAAAAACATTTATAAGGAAATGTCAAAGCAGTCCTATATTTGCAAATTTGTCATCATATATAGGGTGAAATTGATTTCAGCAAACCTGTGTGAGAGGATCATTATACTTGATTTGCTTTTGTGTTCACTTCACATCTAGGATAATTTCAGCAGACAATCTAGCAACAGCTTTTGGTACACAGACACTCCTACAAATATCACTAGAGTCACAGGAGGTTCAAACAGAGTATTATGAAAATGTAAGTCAGCAGAACTGTTATTGTAAATAAGCTGAATAATTTTGCAAAATATTGTAAGTATGTGACATGTTGCCAAACACATTGCATTCACCAGCAGTGACTGGAGTAGTGAAGCTGAAATGAATTCCTCTTTCCGCTCCAGTTTCCCTCTTCAAATACACATAAACCTTAAAAGGTAACAATAACCTGCCAAAATTGCCAAAAGCTGTGGTTTCTTTAAAAATACGTATGAAAAAGCACATTTCACCTAAATTTTAAGTTAAAACATTCGTACTCACATAATTTGGTAGTACTCACAAAAAGCATCAAAATATTATCAGCTATCAGACAGATATCACAGCATATCAGCAGGACACATACTCCTCAAGCAGATTAAGAGACAAATGTCCAGGAACTTAATAGCTGCACCTCTGCACCTACAGAGGAACTCAGCTCATGATGAAATTCTATCTGAAGAAAATTAATTCTGTATACATTAGAGTTATGAGAATATACACAGAATTTCAATCCTACTCTGGAACTTTTTAGATATAATTTTTTACATCCATATACTTCTGCCAACAATGCTATGGCCATACTTCATTAAGCACAGCAGTAATTCTTCTTTCTCCCCTCCAAATACATGTTAGACTGTGAACCTGCAAGTCAGTATTTTTCTCTTGTGCTGCAGCATTTGCATGCAAAAAACACCCTCAAATTAACCTTCCCTTAAGTTTATACTCTCAGAAATTCCAAAAGCTAGCATTTCTGCCTCAGCAGTCACACTGCCACACTGCAGACACAGACTGCATTATACACATACTCACACACTCATAGACTTTGATTTCTACGCCACACATGTTGGGTTTCTCTACACCAAACATAGCTAACTGGGAAGGTCAGCTGAAGAAAAAGAAAGTTCACATCATGACAGTTTGTTTCCTTGCCCACTTAATTTGGTATTATCAGATAAGCAGAGATTGCTTATTATGAGGTTTTTGTAGAGTGCTTACCAAAATGAAGGCACATCTGATAAACATTACGTGCATACAGAACTCTGGAGTATATCTGAAGGACCATATGTTTTATAATCACTTTGCCCATAAATGCAACTCCAGATTCCTGGAAATTCCTAGTTATGCTTCCTCCTCCTCCCCCAAACACACACACACCAACAACATTGCAAAACAAATCAAAAAGAACGTTTGGTTATCTCTCCTAAGTCAGCAATGTTGCTTTATTCTAAAACCACCAGGAAATGAAGATGTAACACCGGCATTCATAACCAGCAGTTATGTAACAGTGGCTCTTCCTAACTATTAAATGTGTGCCGGGATTTTGAGCGGCTCCTTTGTATCAATGACCAACTCCCCACATGGACAGATTTAACTAACCTAACCAAAACACTTGCATGGGGAACTTCTACAGTCCCTCACAATCTGGCTCTAGTGAATGTGAAACAAATGAAAGCGAGTCTGGTTTGACCCTTAGCTTTGCTGGAACACTGGACAACCAATTGAAGAAAAAAGTCCACCTCATCACAAATACCTTTAAGTGTACAAGGACATACATAATGTCCAAAAGACTTCTAAGGGGGTCTTTTATCTATCAAGGGACAAACATCTCAAATCTCAGCATCTCAGACTTTGGGCTAAGAGAACTGAAGAGCAGATCCTGCACAAGATGACTGTTCCTTGCCCCAGTGCTCTGTTTATATATGTATTTTTTTCTGTTGAAGCATCTTGCAGATCATTCACTACTACGCTTTTGTGCTGCACTGAAAGCCACCTGCGTGTGCATGGAGCACCACAGCTCTCCAGGCCATGGGGCTTTTCAGAGAGGAACGATGCCAAGGGCACAGAGTTACCTTCTGGGTTCAGAACAGCCCTTTCACTGGCACGTTGAATCAACTTTCTGGATGTACAGTATGCGTGTTCAGATGGGAAGCTTTCACTTTAATGTATAATTTATGTAACAGAGGAAAAATGTGCTCTGACAAATTAGTCTTCTCAAAAAACAAGAGTTCAACTATTGGGAAAGGAAGAAGATACTTCTTGCAGTACGCTCCTTGAGAGAGTTTAAATACTGTATGCCAGAAATTATCCTCTTTGAGCTTTGCTGACCTTTGATCTGAAGAACTCATTGGCCTTGCTGCTCCAGGGAATTATCCTTTGAAATCAGTTATTCATTTTGGAGCTCAGATGAAATAGGGAAATCTGGTGATCTCATCCTGATGTCAAGTTTCATTCAGCATAGAAAAATGAAGTCTAAATGAGGAAATTTTAAAGGACAATATGGAGGTATTAAAGTAATGTTTATGAGTGATCAAATAACGTGTCTGCCTGCATCTTTGTGCGCCGTATCCAAATCCAATGAATATATAAAAATATATAGATTAGAATATGACTGTTTTGTCCAAGAAGCAAAAATATTTGGTATTTTGCCTCTATACTTAGTTTCAACTATTAACATGCTCTCAGTTTCATGAAGGATACAAACACATGCTGAACCTACTTATAAATGAAATGAGAATGTCTTCCCGGGACAGTTGAAACTGGCAGTCTTTAAACAGAGATCCACCAGTGAGCTGCATGCCAAGGTTCAGCTGTATTCACATTGTGAACTTCCTTTCAGCTCTGCCAATGATATCAAATGAGACCAGACAAGATTGCTATCTCAAAGGAGCGTGGAAAATTAATAGACTGGTGTTTCCGAAGTCTAGGCCATCAAAAATAGGTCCACATACAAAATACCTGTGCAAAAATACTTACCTACCTCCCCACTCAGATAACAAGTCCTGACAGAAAGAACGCTCTGTATAGATTAATACACTGAGAAGCTTACCCTTCTTGTTGTGGGAATCCACAGCCGGAGAAAAAATATATATATTTATTGCTTCTTGTGGGAATAACCATATGCTCTCAAAAACAATGTTCCCTAACAGAATGTTTCATGAATTGAAATACTGCATATGTTTTCTTTATGATGTTCTCTTTTCTTGTTCATTATTAATGGTCTTGTATTCACTTCTATAACCTTAAGACACTATAAAAATGCGTCTGGACAATATTTGAAATTGGAAAGACAATAAAGGAAAAATATTAACTTGGAAAAATTGTGAAATACCATTCTTTCGTGAAAAACAAACTGACTGGCTTAAGTGTACTAGCAGATGTTTCTCTCTAAGATTGTTAATTACTACCACACAATTGCTCATAATTGAGGGCGGGAGGAAGAGAGGAAGAGAATGAGCACCAGTTTAAAGGTATAAAGGCTTATCCTTGAAGAACTAAGTCTTTTTTTTTCAAAGATTTATTCATTTCTATGAAAAGGAGTAGGTAATAATTCCAACTGCTCCTTAGGAATTTAAAAAAAATAATCCCAGATTGCTGTGCTGAGTGCACCGAGTATCGAATACAAGCAGCGAAAGCTTTCCTCCGTCACTTCCACCTTACATCTTATAATAAGAGGGGGAAAAACAGAGAGCCAAAATTGGGCTGCACTCAGGTCAAAAAGAGACTTCAAACTTTCACTCCGGTGGATTGCCATTTCAGAGTTCTCAAAATCTCATTCGAGCAAAGCACCATGCTTTGTAGCAAATTATCTTCTTTCTCAAAGTAAGGGCAACTTCACTCCGTGTTTCAACTGTACTGAGCATTTTAATCAGCAGGATTGTGGCCGGAAACAAAAAAGGATGCAACTGTGATGAATGCTCATGTCTAAGTTATAGCTACCAAGGCAAAATTTACACAGCAGTTATGAGAACCCAGGCTAAAGACGAACTACTTCAGAGCCTACTTGGGATGACAGCCATTTAGAAAGGTATTTGATGGATCACAGGCCTTAACTCTGAAAGCAGAACTATGGGAGATGCTATGCAATTCCACAGTGATAAATTATGACTGGATGTTAGGTAACTATTATCTTAACGTCAGGGTCATTGCTGTGTAATTTTTGAGAGAAAGCAGAGCAAAAGTAAAATTGGAGAATTGACAAAAATGCCACCTATGAAAGTCAGCATCTGGTATACGTGAGACAAAATCTTTTGGAGTAAAATATTATTAGAGTTCCCTTCAAGTTGGACAGATTGGATTCTAAGCAATTCTTTAATCTTGCAGAAACAATGGGACAGAGTTATCTGTGCATGGGGGGAAACAACAAACCTGTCTCTAGAATCAGTCTTGTGAGGGAATAGATTAAAAAAAGGAAAATTTTAAAGTGAATAGATAATATCAAGGCAAAGAAACAAAGTCACAAGCAGTTCAGTAAGAATTCAAATGGAACCTCAGTAGCAGTATTTGACTAGTGAAACTGAATGTCAAAAAGTTGGTCCAAGTGAGCTCAGTAGTAAAATTCCTATTGACGTCAACAGGGCAAGGGTGTCACTTCCAATTTACAGATCTAGCAGACACAGCAGAACTTAGAGTCAGACAATGAGGACCAAAGGGATAGAAAGAGAATTAACTGTGTTGTTGTTCCTAAGGTCTCTGATGTCTAAATTATCTGGGTCTGTCAACATTTTTTCCATTGCAAATCAGGTTTGACAAACATAACTGACATTCTTCTCTGACTGCACAAGAACCAGAGGAGTAACAACTATGTTTGATTGTTCTTGAGAAGTCCCGTAGTTAACAATTAAACCCACATTCAGATTTCATTTTTAGATTCTCTTGGAGGCCAGGAATTAAGAAATATCATCCCCAATAAGCACACATGTTGGTTTTATTCCATAGGAGTTGACTGAAACACATCGCTGGTGGA